ACAATCTTAGTATATCTTAGTATATAGTATATTAATATATATAACTAAAATTACTAATAAAGATATAAGCAAGGCCTTACCTTAATACCAAAAAAAAAAACAATACTACCTATATATATAGTATTGTCTAAAAACACAATCTATATATTGATTCATAATTTAAATCTCTCTTAAATACCTTGAGTGTCTTGCTTTATGAATTATATTAATACTTATAAAGTTGTAACTAAATTAAATTATGAAAGTTAATATAAATAATCATTTAAATTGTTGTTTAAAAGTAAAGACAAACTTTCAAGTCATTCTAAGTTAACTGATAACAATTTTTAACTTTCTATGCAAAATAAATACCTGGTTTTAGTATCTTATTTATTTTAGTCAAAAACATTTATAAAATAGGATTATTTGAGATAATTAAAAGTAAATGTTTTAAACTATATGTTTAAAACTTTTTAGATTTTGCTAACTACTGAAAATTTTTTTTTTTAAAATGTACAATATTTGTGAGAGAAAAGACACATGGGAGTCAATTATGTTCAAGAATTCACTTGTAGATTATTCTAGAATGTGATTTCCTTATTTGATATATTCTCTGACTATATTAAGCTAAATAAAAACAAATCAATCTTTAAAAAAAAACTATTGTAATTAACTAGGCTACTGAAATATATTCTAGAAAAAAAGATTACATGTCAAAAAATATATAAAACAAAAGTATAATTATATCTATCTTTTTAAGCTATCTGAACTGAAAGCTTGATGAAACTTGATTTGAATATTAAAATAATAAAAATATATTGTAAAGTAAGTACCAGAATTAGGATGAACTCTACAAAAACATAATGATTTAATAATACATCCTGATCATAAGTGTTAGTCTTGATCATAATATTATTAGATCAACTATAAAAATAGAATATATAAAATTCTAAAAGGTTTAATACAAGATCAAAAATCCTTATATAAATAATTATTTTAAAGATTTAATAATCATGACATATTTGTACCAGTACCTATTAAAGCATCTTGGTAGGTATAAGTAGATGAATGGATATGAGAACTAAAATGTTTAAATAAAAAACTTACAAGCAAGTTTCAAATATGACAACTAGTATAGAATCTTTAGAAAGACTACTTAAATTAAACAATAACTAAGTTGTACAAGTGGCTAGTTTTACACTTTTTTTATGATTGCTCTTTGTGATTGTAATGCAACCATTAACTGAATGTACTATCAATAAAATCTTGGGTTGCAAGTACTCATCTTTATATTTAAAAAAAAAAGATAAACCATTTTTTTACATAATTACAATTTTAAACTTTTGATTATTAAAACCAATTCATAATAAACACATCTTTTGGCTAAAACGTATATAACAAATTAAAAAAAAATTACACTAATGTAATAGTTTAAAATGGTTGATTAATTAAAATTTTTAAACTGCAATTGTTTGCTACAAAAATTACTAAAAAAAATTATTAGTACACGAATTCGATGCAATTTTTGGAACCTTTTTTTGATACGTAGTAATTTACTAATGATATCTCAATTTTGTCGATCAATTTTATGCATAAAATCTATTATTATATGGTTTTTAAAGCCCTATGAGAAACGGTACATAAATAGATTTTTTTTCTATCCTATCAAGAAAGAACAGAGTTTTGCTTCGTTCTTATATTTACAAAATTTTTATAATTATATTAAATTTTAAAAAAAAGTCGATCTGCTGGGTCTGTGTTAAGATCTTATGAAAACCAAGTAATTAACCTTGTATAGTCTAATTAGATAATAACTATTTAAAAAAAGTAAAAAAAAAGCTTGGCAAAAAATGGGTTCTAAAAATAAATAAATGCAGTTTTTATAAAATCCATTTATACCCAAGGATTTATGTGAGAGAGGGAGGGCAAGAAGGCAATAGATTTAATAATAACTTAGATTAATCCTTTAATCAACACTATCCGTGAGCTGAGCCGAGCCCTTGCCACTGGGTACACGTACGCACGTACCAATATTGTGAACATAATTTAACTGGTCAATCACGTAGATCGTGAAATAACTGCGGAGGATTACGGTTTAATAGTATCAATATCGATATAAAAAAAAATTATAAATTTTACAAGACACGCTTGGTCGTGCATAGATTGCTATACTATAAAATACTTGCGAAACATACACTTTTATATTAACTATATTAATTTTCTGATGAACTCTTGTCTCGAAAAAAAGAATACGGGTGCTGGTACCTTGCACTTAAGCGTGCCCTTGGTGGTCGTAGATTGTTGCTGTAATGGCTTTGGATTACACGTCTGGTGCAACGATCACCAACACGCTATTACAACGACAGACAATTTTGTGAATCTTACTTGCGCGGACAAACATATTATCCGGATGCAGATAGATAAAGGCATTGATAATATCGAGTTTCTATGCCAACGCCAACCTAACCTTGCGATGTTACAGATTCGTGCAAGAACTCAAGTTATTGTACGTGATAAAAATCATTCGTCCCCATATGGTGGGCAAATGTCTATTTTATGTGTTACACGTGATTTAAATGCTTTCAAGGTAAAGAAATAACCGTGTGATTAGAGGATTCAATAGATCCTAAATTTATTTATGATGTAACTTTGTCTTCTTTACACATCAAGGAATTTATGAGTCATTTTAAAAATTCGGAAAATAGTGTCGCAAAAAAGCCAATGGAAGGCGAGAAATTTAAAAGTTTAATTAGAAAATATTTTGACTCTGATGGGAACGCGCTTCCACCTGGAATGATCAAAAATCCGCTGTTGAAAACACAATTGTTGAGTAGAAATACATCGCCAATTTCTAGATATGGAAAGGGAAAGGAAATATGTAGAAATACTACAATGTCATCTTCAACATCATCTTCAATATCATCATCAACATCACCTTCAACCAATTCGATAAGCGCTGCTTCACATTCTACACCGCTTTCAAATACGAATTCAGACTACTTAAGTAATTCAACGGGTACGGGAGTTGCAAAGTCAAGGACAAAATCATTCCACATTTTATAAAGTCCATCACAATGAAGTTATTAACATTGATCAATCACATTGTCTTAAACGTATTAAAACGTCTACAAATTTCCAGATGATGAAGTTATCGTAGTTTCTTCTGTGAAAAGAAGAAACAGTTTAAATCGTAAGAGATCTGGTTCATCTTCGGATTTGACAAACGAGACCGATGTGGATCGCGAACCGAATACCGATTTTTCTGCAAGATTCAACGGATTTCGTCTTAGGAAAAAATATAAATCTTCAACAGACATTGTGACTTATTCGAGTCGTAGGTCTAGCTATAATCCCAAATCATCAAGAACTTTCGATGACGACTTTATAATTTCTCCGAACAAAAGGCGTAATAGTTTAATTTTAACTCAAACTCGTCAAAGGGCGGATCAAGTAGGAGATACCGATACGCGTTTTAGGAGGAGGTTTAGAACTTCAACTAATTCGAATAATAATAAAGAAACTTCTCCTACATGCATTCAAGAAAATATCAGTATATCATCGAAGTACGGGGACCCTATTGTAGTAATACTAGACAGTCCTGATAGAGGATCAAGAGTTCCGTCTGAAACCTTTACATCAGAATCTGTATCTAGTGTTTCACAGAGCCCTAGTAGACGAGACCCAAACAGGTAATTTTAATCGTTTTTACTGTTTACTTGTAAACATAATAAACCTGTTTAACGCAATTTTTCACTTCTCTTTAGCAAGTTATTTGATTACCCTTGTGTTGGCTATTCGTCAATTCTAATTACAGGATCGGATTACAATCGTTTAGTAGACATGGACGAGTTGAACGACAATCTTATCGTATTTTATATGAGGTATTATACTCAATATATAATATTCAATTATTTTTTTCCTTCTGTATTATTTATGATCATTATATTATGCCTTGATTTTAACATAGATACGTTCTGAATCAGCTTCGTGAACACAATGAGGCTAGCGCGAAAAAGTATTATTTATTCGACTCATACTTTTATAAGAAATTGTCTGATCTTCGCGAAGAAAGGTAAATATTTGTGATATATTGTATTATTTTTTATATTATTTGATTGATATTGGTGTTATAATGAATAGAAAATTTTTTTGTAGGAAGGACCCAAATGAAATTTATAATCAGATGTCAAGATGGATAAAGAAAAAGAAAATCGACCTTTTCGATTTCCAATATATATTTGTTCCTATCTGTGAAAAGCAAGTATTTCAAAATTCATTTTTTCCGAACCATTTTGCAATGATTACAAATATGTTTAACATGGTTTTTTTGTTTTTTTTTTGGTTCAGTGGGCATTGGTACTTGGTTTTGATAATTAATCCAGCCTCGTTAAGAGCCAATAGAACTACAGATTGCCATATCGCAATATTTGACTCTATTGCTGAGAATTTTAGGCATAACCGTACAGTGCAACTTATTACAAACTTTCTGTTTGAGTATACACGGGACACAAGAAAGGTGACCATCGAACGGACATCGAAGATTCCTTATTCATTGGTAAATTCACCTAAACAAAGAAATAATGTTGACTGTGGCATATATGTACTTCATTTTGCCGAAACATTCATGTGGAACTCTGAAATCCTCAAACGGCAAATTATCAGGTTCAAGACGGATGAAAATTCGTGGGATCCATACAACCTGCCCGACAAGCGCAATTCGATTTTGGGTATAATCGATAGTTTAGCAGATTCATAACTATTTCTTACTCAATAATAAAGTTCTTTGTTGCATATTTAATAACTCACTTAATGGTAGAGTTTATTATTAATCTAATCTGTAATAATTTGAATTACGTGCAATCTGGTATGCCATGATCGTTCTAATGAATATTAGAACTATGCGACGATTTCTTTTTTTAATTAAAGAAATAAACTTTATATATTTGAATGATTTGAATTCTAGTATTGTAAAGCTGCGAAGTTATTTCAAAATTCGTAGCCTTTCAACAAAAGAATTTCAGAATAAAGCTCATAACTCATTTCTCAAGATACATTAGTAGATTTGCAATGTAGTAAATTTTGTGCTATATCAGATATTAATTGTTCGTATTACATACAATATCTTAATGAACTCAAATTCGTGTAACACGGAACGTCTAAAGCGGAGTAAATTCTTTATATAATATATTTTATTGAATTACTTTAGGGTTAGGGCCATCTTATATTAGGGTTGGGTTGGGTTTTTAGATAGTTATATATTAGCAAAATTGCCTTCCCGACATTTTTAATTAACCTACCCGAGGTGGGTTTGGACTGCGATCTTTCAAAGTTCTACGATTTGATTGGCCAACGGTCACATGATTATGCTTCGCTTTAGACGACATCTCTTTTTGGTAAAAGATCTTTAATTGGGAAAATCTATATTACTAAAATTTTAATTTCTGTCTGTGCGTTTTAAATGATTTGATTGGTTATATTTATTTAAGATCAGTTATGTGCTATAAACAACTATACATGTTTGGTTTTAAAAAAATATATATATATACTAGGAAATGCACAGCATTGTGTGTTCGAAGCTAGGATGTTTAGAATTAAGCAAAAGCATAATATGTGCATAATTTATTTAATTTTGATATTTGTAACTGTTTCACATAATCAGACAAAAAAGCATACGAATCATGTGAATTAAATATGATTGGTTGATATGAACATAAGCAGTACTGTATATTATTTTAAACTAGAAATAAATTTTGGAATAGAAAATCAACAAATCTAAATTATGAACATGGTAAAGAAATTTTTTGGTAAACAACTGATAGATATAAAATAAATTATATATAAAATAATTTTAACCTTTAGCATTTTTTATTTAAATATATCACATCTATCACATAGTTGACTCAATCACATCATATAATTGATTCTATTGCATAATTAATTGAATTATCAATAAGCATGGAATTGATAACCAATTAGAGATGCTGAAATGAACAAACTAAATGCATGTGACAATGTAAATTAAATATAAAAAAATTTACAAATAAGAGCTTGAAAAGTGAAAATAATTATAAATATAGACCTAAATTAAAAATAATTATATAAAAGGACTTAATGTTTAAAAAATATTAGATATTAGAGTTCAAAATAACAGTGACATTATTTAAGCATATGGATTGATTATTATTAGTATAAGAAATATAAGTATTAATAAATATAGTTATTAAGTATATAAAAATGTAACAAATTAATAATATAAACAAATATTAAGTTAAACTAGTACTCTTTCCAACAATCATTTGAACCAAACTTTCCAAAAAGCTGAACTATAGAAAATGATATAGTTAATATATTAAACTTTATGAAAACCTTTTTGGAGTACTGTATACGCATTATTGGACATTGAAATAGAGTTAAAAAAGAGTTGCAGCCTTGTGATGATGGTTTAAAAAGCACTCTAGGATTATAGAAGAAGTAGTTGGTGAAAGCCAAGGTTCTTCATTAAGTAAACAACAAAGTTGAATATATTAGTTCTATATAACTGTAAAACCTACAAGGAATACCTACAAGAGTTAAGAATTCACAAAAGCTAAAAAGTTAGTTCATCTAGCACTCTCACTTTTTTTTCGAGAAAAATTTTGTAAAAGTGGGTGATTTAGTTTACTCCCTTCTAAAGATTGACACATAAAATTACCAAAACAGTCAGCAGTATTTATTTCCTAAACAGGATTGTTTACAACATATATCGGAAATAATACAGCAATACAAACACAACTATATACGTGCCTTAAGTTACTGAAAACCTGTCAAACACTGCCTCCAGACTAACTAGTACCTTATATCAACTCTCTATGATAAAGTCGAAGTTTTTTTCTCCTTTTTTGGTTTTTTGTTTAAATAATCTAAGTAAATAGAAAAATAGTAAAATAATTTCTATTTAGTATAGTTTATAATTTTTACAAGCCCAACACAGGCTTATAATTATAGTTGTCTAACATTTGTGAATTGCAAGTTTCATATCTAACACAGACTTAAAATCGTAACCATCTGACTTTTTGTGAATTGCAAGTTTTACACTTTCCTTTTTTCTCATTTTTTTCCTTTTCCCTTTTATTTCTTGTTTTGTATCTTTTATCATTTACTCTTATACCTTTGTTTTTTTTTTATATATAAAATCTTTTTTTTGTTTTTTTGCTTGCCTATAAGAAGATATCATCAGATTGGTAATATCCTATTGTAGGATGGCAGTCAGACAAGCAGCCTACCTCTGCTTGAGGTAGTGTGGCAGGTCACACTTAGGTACCAATAGGGTGGCTAGGTAATGCTAAACTTAGTTATTAGAAAAATTCTCTGTAATTTGTATAATTTCAAGAATTCTAATAAAGTACTAGCATGGCTACTTAAGTTAAAAAAATAATAATAATAATAATTATAAATAAAAAAAAAATTTTTTTAAATTTAATAAATTTTATTTTCTTTGTATAAATCAGTTATTGTTATAACAAACCATTATGATATCAAGTAAAGCACTACAAATTGAATTAACATTTAATAATATAAAAATAATTGTTCTGCTCTTTGTTAAAACTTCATTGTCTTATAAATAATTGTGCTAGTTTAACACTTTATACAATTTAAGCAAAAATGATTGTAGCCAGTGTTTTATTTATTTTTTTATCTAATAATTGATATCTAGATAACTCTAAATATTTATAATGTTATAGAATAGATTTCTATTATTATATTATTTATTAGTTATAGTTGCTTTAATGCTTTAAACATTTTAATGCCTTAAGTTTGTGATACTAGTCACTTAGTCC